TATATATATTATTTACTTCAAAACGTAACACCACAGTTACACGTTACAAATTTAAATATGACCAGAACTCGTCATGAAAGGAGTTGTGCATTCTAAAATATGTAGTGGTGAATTTACTTAAACCAAGTTAAGTCATCTGGTTCCGATTTGAGTAATTTACTTAACTCGGTTTAGTGGAACCAGTTTGGTTAATTATATTCAACACTTAATTTCTTAGAGGGTGTGCAAAATTACTTTAATTTTACTTTTAATTTCCCAATTATTTTAAGTAGTTTTGTGACTTTTACTTATTTTTTATTTATTTTATTTTGGATTGGTGAAATAATATTTTACCAACATTTTTTTCTGTTAAGGTAATTTAATTTACTTATTTATTTTAAGTAAATATACACCTGACAAAAACAATGAGAACACGGCTTTTTTTGCACAAACAGTAACCAATCAACAAAATATGTTTGCACCAAAAAAAATTTATATACTATGTTTTTATAATGACTGAAATGTGCACACGTGTGCTCTATGTTTACATGTGTGTCTGGGTSCATGTGTGGCTGCGGCTTGCTGTACCACATGTGAGCTTGTTTTATGGGTCTAGAGGGAATGAAGGCTAATGCAGTAAAACAACCTTCCCCGTGCCCAGCGTCTGCTTGAAGAGGAGATTTAAGACCCACCCTCACGTAGTAAGGAAAGGCTTTGGAGACTGAACGCCGTGTAGAAGATGCAATAATTCAGGTAGTTCTGTTTCTCATCAGCTCATATTATACCTGTTTCTCCAACAATTGAGGACCCTACTGTTTAGAAACCGCCTGCAGTTTGGTGAAACTTACATTTACGGGCCATATGTGATGACACATTGGCCTCACCTTAGAGAATTAATTTAGAACGGAACAACTGTTCTTCTATTAACGCATGGTTTCAGACTGATCAGATACCTAGCATGTTAGAAACACCACTTAAATCATTGATTTAAAGACACAGGTTAGTGTGCTTTGTTTATAATAAGGTTAAAATACATATTTTTACAAGACAGTAGCCACAACCAACAAAAACATCATTACATAGACAACTCACCATACAGCATCCCTATAATCTGCCTATCAATATGATCATGACATTGTTTGAATTGTCAAAGATTCTGTCAAATAATTTAATGAATTTGTAGCCAGAAAAAATATATACAGGATGTATAGGTGGGTAAACTTTTCATTCCTCTATTAGTGCTTTGTAAGCTTTAGGACTCTAAAGTTTTTGAGCTGTTCCTAGGACTGTGGTCTTCTGGACAGAGATATCTGAGGTTGTTTCTGGTATTTGCTTAAACCAGTCTCCCAGTTTTGTGGTCACAGCATCAAGGTCTTTGATGACCACTGGTACCACTGAGGCTGTAACTCCCCACAACTTCTCTTTTATCACTGGATTTAAAATTGTTCCTGAGTCAGTGTGGATGTTGAGTTTTGAAGTTTTTTTATGGTTCCCATATCCTTCCTATCCTTCTCTCTCTGTAGTCTTTCTAGTAGCATTCCAACAGTGGCAACTTCTCTGCCTTGTTATATGAATGTATTTTTTCYAGTAACTCATTTCTCATCAAAATCTCTTTGTTCCCCAACATCTGATGTGAACCTTCTTAATCGGAGCATTGGCCAAACTGGCATGGCATCATTCCTTACCCATTACTTAACAAAGGTTGCTCAGAAGTTAGAACCCATAATCGTCTGTACCAACRTTTTGGGACAAATCTACTGTACCCTTTTTTTTCTCCACATCCAGGATATAATTTGAGGCTTGCATAGAGACATGTAAGGTTGGTGCCCATCAGCAAGGCTCAGAACAGTATGCATTAAAGTGTTAGATACTTTGTGATTGATTTACTGATGAATTGTAATCAAAACATCTCTATATTAGCATAATATGTGCCTTGCTCTAGCAGTGTAAACATGTAATGTTTTACATTGCAGGAATGTAGAACTTGTTTTAGGGGTACTTACTTGTTTACTATGACATCATATCCAGGGTATAAAATCCTATCTGGAGTGTGACTGAGTTTTCTATAAACGTTATTGGGACACATGATTTGTGACCATTTTGTTTTTAGCTTTCCAGAGCTGCAGACAGGCTTGGAGTGAAATAGTGTCCTTAGATCTGAAAATTAAGATTCAACACAGAACTTAATTGGTTTTCTAATCTGAACAATTACTTCACAAAGGCTACCAAAAAGTGTGAATAAAGGTTTACTCATACCACCTTTGAAGGTGGCTTGAGTGAAGCTGCCTGTCTTCAAACCAATTTGACAGTTGTCACTCCTTAGCACTATCCAAATGCAATAAAATGACCCAGACCCAGATAGATGTCGATCTGAACAGGGCCCATGCCCATGTTTAGACCTTGTTTACCTGGCCAGTGAAGTTCACTGGATATAAGTTCACTATTCTTATTTATTTATTTAGTAAGACTTTCTGTTAAATAAATAAATAAAAAAATCTAACCAACAATGATGCCTTATGCCTTTATGGTTAAATGACTCATCCCTTTAGGCAAAGTGTGCACTGATCTTTGTAAGGACCTACTCAATCTAGCACACAAAAGCCATTGCAGCCTGTCTCTTTGGCTAATTGAAGATCATTTAACAACACTGCCCAGAGGCTTTTAAGCCAATGAGATGTCATTGATTTTGCCTTTTAGTTTGAAGCATGCTCCTTTTTGTTCTCCTTATGGTTCTGCTGTCTCCTTCCCTCCAGTGCAGGCTTTAATAGCCCACTGAAGATACTTGCAGCCGTTGCCAAAAGTGCACACGTGCATTCATCTCCGTGATGTAGTGGAATGTGCTATATTTACTGTCAGCCCTCCTGGCAAGAGCTCACTCATCACAGCACTTTTCTTTCATCACATTCCTCCCTTCACGTCTACCTTTTCCCACATCGATCATTTATCTAACCACCAAAATGTTAGCATTCTTCATTTGTAATTTCATTGCATCAGTCTGAAAAAAAAGATACCTTTTTAATGATTTATTTGCATGTAAATGCTTCAATTGTGCTGTTGTCAGTAAGTAGTTTGGAAACCACCCTGAAAGCCTCACCCACACTTTCACACGTTCTCTTTGCTTAGCAGGTGTGTGTTTGCTCTGCTCTTCCCACAGGTGGACAAGGTGTGTGGCCTGTCTACAGGGGAACCTAAAGGCATGCAGCCGACTAGCCCAGAGGTCACAACCTCTACCATAACCTCATCGACTCCTCTTCCATCTGCCGCCCCCTTCCAACTTTTACAAGAGCAGAACCTGAGACATTTTGCCAGAATAAAGGGGTAAGATAAAGCTTTGAATCATTGTCAACTGTAAATAAGTCATATAT